TGCCAAGGCCTGAGTGTTGTTGTACATCCGTTCTGCTGGCTTATTTGTGTGCAGTTTGTTGTTCCTTGCCGCTAGGGCAGATGCACTCCGACTTCGAAGAAAGCTCTCGATTTGTCGACATGCTTGTTTGGGACATTTCAGACATACCTCTTATCCAAGTAAGAATTCAGTAAATAAAAACTTTAGAAGAACAAGCTTTTCTTCACAAAAGAAATTCGCCACATCTGAGATCACCTTAAGCGTTCTACACTGCACATTTTTTTTTTCCTGGCAGCCATAATCACAGTTTGGATCCTAATATATTATCCTTTTTCTTCTTGACTTTAGTGTCAAGAATCATAGGCAGACAACATGAACAGTCTGAACAAGAAAGCTCGTATGGCAGAAAAGTTGACAATTAGCTAAGTAGCTTTTGGGCTTGCTGCTATAAGAGTTATGTTCTGCCCAGGATCCTCAACAAACTCATGCCAAACATTCTATTGTCATCTTCTTCTGTGTCCTTTATTTTCTTATTCTTTTCATTGTCAGCTGGATTTTGATGCCAAAGTGTTCAAAGAGAATTGAGGTAGCCAATTTTACATCAGGCCTCCTCAGTTGCCTCTCACTATACAAATGGTAATTGAGTTACATTAAAAAGTTTCCTTGAAGACCCCCCCACCCCCCAATAACACACGTTAATGTTGTAACTTGGTGCTCAAATAAAAATGTTCAACATTCTAAAGGCAGCAGACATGGTTAGTTAGTCCGCAGATCATACTTATTGCACATCAAAACAATTGGCCCTAAGGGTTCAAATCACCCCATCAGTAATCCCACAGTGTATAGCAGTCGACGACACCAATTCTGAGTTGATATAATGTCTTTGGCTTTCTGCATTGTGCTCTTTCTCGTCTTACCCCGTTCTATCGCTGTTCTTGCAGTCTGGTCAAGGCCTGACATTTATGAGAATCCTGAGCACAAACTGTATCAGATATATGGTGGTTATCTATATACATATTAGAACACAGCCTAATGAATCCCTTGAGTTAAGACAAATATATGAAAAACTACAACTGTGACCCTCACCTAAACTGGTCTCCATTCAACTGTGTCGGTTCCTTATTCAACAAATCTGACAGAGACCATTCCTGCGATACTTGTGAGCTGAAGATGAATGATTAGAATATGTGATAACAGATGGAGAGACATACCATATTATTAAATAATTGACAACAAAGGTTGTTGCGATTACCACTAAGCTGATGTGAAAAACTCTTTGAGGCAAGAGCATGGACAGCAGACTGTTGCACAAAGCACAAACTCCCCACCTCTGGCAACAGCCTCCAAAGATCTCACACACACTCGCATTCACATGCTAAAGGATGCAGCTCATATCAGGTTCGACAATTAAATAATGAGACTTATTTTATTACTGCCAAGAACAAAATGCAAACTTGAATCAAAGCATGGTATCCATGGAGGCAACTTTCATCTATGATCTGGCAACATTTCATCCCTGCCTGATAAGCAGACAACAAAAAAGCCGCCACTCTGTTGACCTAGTCAGAGATGCATTGTTATGTAATCAGCATTGAGCAAAAAGCTAACATTATTTTCTGTTTAAAGCTCAGAAAAAGTGCCACTGAAACAGTTCAATTGATGCAACAAATTTATGGGGAAAATTGTTTATCTTGTGCAGTTTTTTCCTTCTTCATGACAATGCACTGTCTCACCAGCGGTAGTTGTACAGGAATTTTTGGCCCCAAAACAAGTGTGTTCTCAACCATTCACCCTATTCCCAGATTTATCTGCCTGTCATTATTTTCTATTCCCAAAATTGAAGTTCCCATTGAAAAGACGCTTCTTTGACGATATTGATGACATCCAAACATCAACTTTAAGGGCCATAACAACAGAAAAACTTCACAGGTTGTTCCAGTCTTTGTAAGATAGTGCCACTCGCTGTATCAATGCATAAGGTGCTTGCTCTGAATCAAATACAGGTTATAACTTAAACTGTTGATTATTTTAATGTTTATGGAATCAGTCTAATTACTTAATTGTCGGAATAGATCCCATGATGCCAGTGATTAATAGTGATTTAAACTGATTATAAATTTTGTTGTTGCTTCTCACTTGCCATTTCTCGCTGTTTGCATCTTTGATTGATCTAAAGATTCGTCATAATACTCTGTTTTCGACAATTTTAAATGAGGCTTCAAATTTTTTGTAGTTGTGCTCCAAGTTTCAGAGTCATTTAAAACAACTGGTCTAATCAACGTTTTATTTATTTTGATTTTGGTGTTGCGAGATAGAGACTTTGACTTTAGCAGATCTTGAAGGGCATAGTACACTTTATTTCCAGATTGTATTATAGATTGTATTTCTTCTCTCAGCATGTTGGAGCAGTTGAAGTTTGCACCTAAGTACTTATATGTTTCCATTCGTTTATTTCATATTATCGACTTGAATGTGGCTGGAGTTTATATCCTTTCCCTGTCTTATCTTGATAACTAGTCCCATTTTGTGAGCTGCTTCTTTTAAGAGAGTCAGTGTTTTTTACAGTCTCTAGTTCATTTTCTCCAACGATATCAATGTCATCTGCATAACCAAGTATTATTATAGTTCCTTCATCTACCTATTAATAAAAATAAAGTCCTACTTTCCTTGTTTCTTTTTCTCTGGGTAACAAAATGAGATACCACAATGCAGTGGCCAGAAATTGACTGCTCAGAGAAACTCATATTTTTAATTCATTTCTTTGCTTCCATACTATCAGTTTACAGATCATTAAATCCCACTTATTTGAAAGAATATTCTTGAGTAATTCATGATTTCATCTTTATTATTATTTGTTATATTGGCTATTTACTGTGTTTCTGCAGCACATTTTTTTTAACACTGTAGCACTACCGAACGAAGCAAGGATCGTAAAAAGTACACACCATTTTTGTCTAATGCACAGATCCACTGTCTTGCCACCTGCTCTAATGGGCGGAAATACCTTTATGCCTGTGGAGATGAAAACAGCATATATATTTACAATGCCTGACATAAAAAAATCCATACACACACATTGTCTCTTATGTCTATATGTCTTAAAACACACTGGATGTATATATTTTGATGTAATGGTTTGCCAGTGTCTTTCTTTTGTTGCATTTTCACTCACTATTGTTCTCCTGTTATGTTTATATGACACATAAGACTTTCAGTCTTTTCCTTTATTCTGTTCTATCCTGTACACGCTGCCATGGACAGATTTGATCTGATCTGATTCAAGAACCGACATCACAGCAATCGGGGCATTCCCATAAGCGCTCTGTCCCCGTCTTCAGCAGCCAGTGAAGGATACTAATAGTGCCAGTGGCATTCTGATTAAACGTCCGTCTTGCATTTCCTCTGAGCCTCGAGCATCTGCCAGAACCTCTTGTCACCCCCCCTGCATCAATCTCACCAGACTGCGGTGATCCATCTGCTCCTCCAAACTGTACACACTCTCCCACAAGGCACCAACAACGTCTGCCTTATCATGTATCAGTATTCCACCAAGTTGTGCAGAGCCAACCAGTTTGCCTGTTCATTCTCAACACACTGGCAAGCCCCGGTGAACAAATCCAGACAATACTTCTCACCCGTGTCCTCTGCAGCGAAGCATGCCAGTCCAGATCTTCCTCAGCATGCTTTCTGAGTCAGTTACAATCATTATGTGTGTGTGTGTGTTGTGTTCTCTAATCAGCAGAAAACTGCAGTGACCGCCTCCACCTCCATTCTTAAGCTGGATGTTGTGGTATCATATGCTAGGCTCTCCTGCACCAAACGTCGACAATTAACGTTTGCTAAGATGCATTTTTAAAAAAAAGTTTACCAATAAATTTGTTACAATTTATATAGATTTTAAACTCTTTTTTTGCAAAATATATAAAGATACATGAAAGGAGAAATCAATAAACACACATAAGGTGCAGCAATAAATAGAAATACATCCCCTAGGCCTATGCACACGTTTCAGGTGATTCATGCCATGACTACATGGCCTTTATCACTTAGGCTTATGGGGAAACTCTCGGCAACTTGGCTTTTTAAAAGCCATTAAGGTAAAAGGACACCACCCTCTCCCCCCTACCCAATGTTATTGCTAGTTTATATTCTGACCTTCTAAACATTTGCACATGCATACCAGCTGCCCTATGTATATTTCAAGGCATTCTGAATAATCAGAAATGCTAATAATTTACCTGAAACAGCATTCTTTTCTGCTGCCAAATACAAAAGACCATGGAGAAAAGTGATAACTTCAGGCACATATCGCCGTGATAAGCCGACAAACTGCAACAAAGAATGTACAATGTAACTTTTAAATACTTTAATGCCTTTGATGATATTTTTCACAAGCGAGTTCATTATGCAAATAACTATTTTATTAAATGTAATCAAATGAAACTATCCCTAATGACTTTATTACAAACATATGAATGGTAAATAAGCAGGTGAACTGAGCAAAGCAACTGTTAGGAAGCATGACAATATGTTCATCTTATCATTCTTGTCTTATCAGACACACCCTCAAAAATATATAGTTCCTTTTTCTCTCTCATTTTTTTTTTAAATTTAACAGGCAACCAGAAGTGACACTATGAAGTTACCGACACCAGTAGAAGTATCTAAGCTTTAAAAAAAAGTCAGTATTTCAATAAAAATAGAAATGCCATCCACAGACAACAAAAATATTATGGTTTTCCCCCTGTTAGTATTATAGAATAAATTTATCCTTTAAAAAAGAACAGTTTGCAAATGCTAAATGATTTATCTTTGGACAAAACACAAAACAAGAATATAAAGTGTTGAAGTTAGAATCAACAAAAAAAGTCAGTTATGAGCAACTGTTACTGTAAGACGCTATAAAATCAGCAATTTATAATAAAAGTATTTTATCTAGCCAAGAAGATCCGCCAAAATGTAAAATTGAATAAAATTGGCTTTCTTATATAATGGAGTAAAAAAATTGTAACTAAACTTTAAGACTTAAAATTAAATTCATGAAAATGACAGATTTAAAGAACCAATTCTAAATTACACACAAAGACAGCAAGTCAAATGGTTTGCCCACTTGGAAAGAATGCTTTCTGATGCTATACCATACAAGGCATACACCAAAATAGGAAAAGTATGTAGAGCAAGAGGTAGACCAAGAACAAGATGTGAAAATAACATGAGAGAAACTCTACATCACCACAAGGTGTCTATAGTCGAAGCAGCCAGAAGACCACGAAGCAGGACCCTATCTCCCTCGACACCTGAAGCCGTAAAAGAGGACTAAAAAGGAAGAAGACAGTTTTACTAACATTTTATCTGAACACTTATAAAAGTTTTCTTTTTTGATAATTATTTCTTATCATAAGGTGTACACATTTTTTTCTCCAATAAATACGTTATCATGAGTTGCTGGACTACTGCATGTTTAGTGGCTTAGATAGCCAAGGCAAGCAGTGTTGTTTAACAGCAGCTAATTAACAAATGACCAAGAAGAAGACAAACACCGACATCTTACAAGATCTGAGCATTAAGGAGAACTGACTCAAAAAACGGCGTTCAGTCCTGAAAGCTGAGTTATTCTGGCCATTTTAAACATCATGGTGGCCTGGACAGAACAGTAATGGGTGGCATTAGCTGAAAAAAGAGGTAGAGGTTGGCCCACGTGAAGGTGGAGAATGACATTAAAGATGCATTAGTTATGAAAACACACAGGACTGGAGAACTGGCTAGAGAAAGAGACTTACAGACCTGCTGCGAAGAGATGACATTCTGTATAGGACCTGCTGCAAAGAGAGTGACATTCTGTATAGGACCTGCTGCAAAGAGAGTGACATTCTGTATAGGACCTGCTGCAAAGAGAGTGACATTCTGTATAGGACCTGCTGCGAAGAGAGTGACATTCTGTATAGGACCTGCTGCGAAAAGAGTGACATTCTGTATAGGACCTGCTGCGAAGAGAGTGACACTCTGTATAGGACCTGCTTATTGATGATGATGATATATGAGGCATTGTACTTTTCTCACACTTACCTTTAATGCCAAAGAGCACAAGAACAAGCCAGCAACAACATCTCTGCTGTTTCTTAACACACACTGAAATGAACATTAGAATATGAATGGTGGTAGATGCGACATGAGGGGAGTTACAGTATACCTGGCAAAAGTATCTAGGGTGATGATTATACTTCAATCAAACATGGACAAGTTCCTGAGTCGGTGATGACTATAATAACAAAGCGTGAACATCAGTACTAAATATACCATTAAAAGTCATCTATACTAGGGCATCAGTTGAGTTTATTCAATCTTGGACACATTGGGACAATCAACTGGTGGCAAATCACTGAACACTATCTGTCTATTCAATTCTACTAAATATACACTGGCAGACTCTAAAGGTGGTACCTCAAAAGATGGCACCTAGTCTTGACTTGATGTCAGACCATAACACAAGATGCATTCAGCATATAGGTCCACTCCTGGGGTCACCAATAGCCTATAATAAATGTATTCAGCATATGGGTCCACTCCTGGGGTCACCAGGAGCCTATAACAGTAAATATTGCTGGATAAGCCAGACTGACCTGCTGGGAAGCAGAAAAGAGTGCTACTATCAAAAGACCCGCAGGTTTATATACAACAGCCACTGGCACTGACCAACATTATGAAACATCAAGCAAATTACAGTGGTCAGATAAAGCGCCTGGATCTCGCCGTCTCCTCCCCATAACTACCAATATTGATGACATTCAGAATAATACACCACATTCCATAGCTCAAACGCTCCTGGGAAATAACACACATTATTACGAACAAAGGTCACCCATGTTTACACACATCTGCTCTATCTCAATGACAGAGAGGCACTGATTTTGTCACAAAATCACCTCCAGTGGCTAATCACATTTGGGTCTCATAATACCCGTGGAGCAGCTGTTACCCGTTAATCTCCAAACACAAGTCTCACAACTTCAAGATTCAAATGGAAGAGCTGATAAACTAGCTAAGAAAGGTGCTAATGAAGATTAGCCTCACGTACAAGTCTCTTATTAACAAAAGAAGAAAATAATCAAATCAATCAGAAAACCGGCACAAGACGGCATATTATGGACAAACCAGAATTTATTATTCTACGCCTTAAAGCAGGACACAATCGACTTGGCAACTTCAAGTAACCTGAATCTTTTGCATTCGTATCTGTCATCATCAAGCGCCTTAACAACTGACCTCTGGCACATTTTAAACTGAGTTCAGGATACAACAGATGGTCAGGGCAATATTTCTGTGGAACTACACAGCTGGAAGCTTCCTTTTAAGAAAATACTGTTGTTTATCCCAATACTTATAATTGTCTGCTTTTGATGGTCAAACGCCATTCCGATAGATTCTTTAAAAGTATATAGGTCCTTCTATTTCTTAACACACTGAAATAATAAACATTAGAAAATGGATAGAGTGATATTTCTGTGGAACAACAAAGTTGGAAGTTTCCCAAAGGATCCCAATACCTTTAGTTGTTCTACTTTTGATGATCAAATTCCATTCTTATAAAGGTGTAGATCCTTTCAAAGTATACAGGCCCTGTTGTTTCTTAACATACTCTAAAATGAGCATTAGAATATGGACAGTAGGTGATATTTCAGTGGAACTAATAGTTGGGAGTTTCTTTTTTATAAAACAGTGTTGGTTGCTGATGTTATTTCAATACCTCTAGCTGTTTAACTTTTGATGGTCAAATTCCATCCTTATGAAGGCGTAGATTTTTTAAAAGTATATAGGCTAAAAACACTGAAGAAACTGGGTTTTGTGCTTTTTTTAAAGGACACACTGGGGCAGTCCCCCTCATTGACTGTTGGGTCACTGACATTGTCACTTTCTAAACTGACTGTATTGATCACAAAGGTTACAGTTCAGGTACAACTAACAGTCATTCCTCATTAGTTTTAAAATGTTTAAAGTCAAGAGAACTGACATTAATGCACTAAATTATATCCCAAATGATTTAAGTCTCTCTTAGCATATTGTCTAGCTGTCTGCCAAGACCATAACCCAAAGCTAAAGTTATGATCGCCAAGGATCTCTATAAAAAAACTGCACTTGTGAACAAATTACCAAGGGCCTTATACTGTTAAGCTCATAACATGGAAACGAAGAAATCAGTAGCCTGGGACATATACATCTAATTATATTATTATTTTTAACTGACTAATGCCTTGACATTTGCATGTTCTTTCTTAAAGCTGTGGGGGCACTATCAAGTTTAAATATGAGTAACAAACAAACAAACAAAAAACTACAATACATCACTGCAGAACACACATATTAGGGCTTTGATAAAATATGAAAAAAAAGAATCACTAATGTTGAGCTTTGGGATAGAGAAAAACAAATTAAGTGAATCAAGAGGTCAGGAAAAGATATGGGCATTGGATAGGATACACGCTGAGAAAACATGTAAACAATATAACTAGAAGATCTTTAAACTGGAACCCACAAGGGCATAGAAATAAAGGTAGAAAAAAAACACTATGAAACAGATAGCGAAGACTTGGGGTGAACTGCATGCAATAACAAAGTACAGGATGCCTTGGAGTGTTTTGGCTGAGGGCCTATGCTCAACTGGGGGATAAAGGGCAGAAGAAGAAAATGATGATTCAAAACTAATAAATTACTGGCATATACCCCATATCTAAGTCACTTGAATTGTCATCAACTCACCTCTGATAACATCTGTGTGATGAAATGCATAGCAGGAGTGGTAACTGGATGCTGAAAATCTGAAGTAGGAAACAGGCACTCAACAAGCCTCAAATACATCAGCTGAAACATTTCATAGAAATTTATTAGTAATTCTACACTTACCAGAAAATTTTTTTGTTAACATGGCTAAATAAGCAGCATTCATTTGAAACCTGTACTAATGGCTTTATTATATAAGCATTAAAAAAAAATCATTTCGAATGAATTATGTACCATGGGTTGGTCAGAAAAGGTCACTGTATGCATTGGGGCAAGCACTCCAAATGCTTAGGTAGACGGTGAACGCTGACCGCAAAAAAAAAGAATTAGTCACGCTGTCCTAAATCTTTAACCCCCCCCCCCCTCCCTCATGGTAAATACAGACAGTATTAATTACAGTTTCTGGGGGCAGTTATTTTATGATTTTCAAATGACTGGCTCGAACTAGGAAATCAATAGCAACTTGACTTTCATTTTACTTTCAATGCAAGAGCCGCTAATATATTCTCTACGGCTACATATATTTTTTATGGTGGAAATTCTAAATGATTAAAAGAAATGTGGAAAGAATACAAATTTAGGTCATTTACTTATATTTCTTCTTCTTCTTCTCTTCCACCTTATTTCTCAGCGAAGTGTCGGGTGGAGATGTAACAATTGTTGATGAGCTCTGACCTAATTATATTTGGTCTCTATAAATTACCTCAGAATACAACATGAATATCAAACTAGCCGGCAGCAGTTAATTAGTCAACTTACTGTATCAGTGCCTGGAAATGTTCCCCTTCCGTCCCTTCTCTCAGCCTGAGCTGTGTACTCTTTGTGGTGCTCTAGCAGAAGATTCTGGATTGCTGTGGCAGAGGACATGTTGCACGTCTGGGTCATCTCCCAAAGATGTGACACCACATGATCAACTAGCACTTGGTCTAATGGCTTCTGTTTTACAATGTCCCCAAAGTACTGTAATAGATACTGCTGAATTGTCTGCAATGTAACACAAATATTTCAAATACAAACATGCTTTGGTATCAGCTTGACTTAAACACCATATTTCACAGAGCTAGAGATCTAAGTCGCTACACAGAACCTATCTTGTATTTGCACATGGGGCATGGACAATAAGCAGACTGACAGAAAAACACCCACTGGTGGCAGAAAGGTAAAGGTATAAAGAGGTAAAGGTAAAAAGAGGTAAGGGTTAAAAAAAAAACTTTTCATGCCTAGCGCTAGACCTTTATTTCACATATTTTCTCCAGGTCATGCTGGTGTGGTGGAAAATGGGCAGGCAGATAGACTGGCTGGCTCTGCACCACTTGGTGGTGACTTTATGTATGACAAGTTAGATACTGTGGGGGCCCTTTGGGAGCGAGTGAACAGTGCGGAGGTGCAGATAGATCATTACGGTCTTAGCAGAATGGCACTGAAGTTACCAGGGGATCTGGCTGACGCTCAACACTCAGGGAAAGGATGAGACGGATATACAATCAGACGGTTACTGGTACTACTGGAATTGGAACTCTTCACTTACTGCTGAAGATGGGGACTGAGCTCTTATGAGAGTGTCCCCAGTGCTGTGATGTTGATTCCTAATTCAACAACATTCACAGGCCAGTAGGCACATGGTGGGGAATGCAGCCCTCTTCAAGCCAGAAAAAAGCCTTACACTGATTAGAGACATATTTATTGTTTATAAGAGGAAAACTGGAACATCTTGTGACCACTGGAAAAATCTGTAGAAAGAGAAACAGAGAAAGACAATGCGAGAAGATTCTTAAAAGCCTTTTGTTATGACATGAGAGGGTGTCAGCATACGAACTGTTACCTGCGGATTGTGAAGAGGCATGATCGGCAATGCCAGTCGGCAGGGCACTTGATGATGAATGTATTGTTTGGAGAAACTCACACATTTTGTGACCACTTGCAAGACTGACAGTAAGAGAACAAGGGTAAGATGAGAGATCTGCTTGAAAGTGCCTATCTCAAAATGTTGGTACACTATACAAATTCTGCACCTGATGTTGAACAGGCAGAGAATGCCACCCTGCACTGACTAGCTAGCAAATGTAAAAAAAATTTTAAAGCAACATCAAAACAGTCCTGCTGCATCAAGCAAAAACATAAAGAATAACAAACACAGTTATCAGTTAACTGCAAACATTAACTCACTGATGGTTGTGAAGAACAGAAGAAATAAAATAATATGAAAAAAAATCACTAATGTGGGACTTAGTGGAGTTAAGTTAGAAGCATATCCTTTTTAGGATGCAGTAAACCAACTCCAGCATTTATTAACTGTTGGTGATTTTATTAGACAATGTTATGTTCAGTAGTTTGCCACTGCCTCCTGAATAGTGCAGCACTCATATCACTGTCAAAATAAATACAAACCAATCTGATCTGCAAGCAAAGTTCCTGTGACTCACTTTAAACCCCGAAATTACAGGATTATGAAACTGTTCTCAACTCTTAAGCCACAGATGCTGATTCAAGGGAAGAACTTTACAAATTCCTGCTTGATACCAACAGAGAAAATAGCATGACCTGATTAAAAATTAAATAGTCAAAGGCCTAAAACACACTTAATAAAATTAGCCGCAGATGAATAATATTTGGGAAGATGAAGAAGAGGACAAAGGATAGTTTGGTATGAGTTGGCAGAGGATCTGTGCTCTACTGGAGGATAAAGGGCAGAAGAAATAAAAAAATAAAATAATGAGTGGATGGAAGTAAAATCATATGCTAGTTATTAAGGACAACCACAAACAGCAGAATGAAATATAACAGGTTGACTATGCCTGTGGATTGCCCTTTTGAACTATTTACCTCAAGTTTTTCCTTGTTTCCCTCAGCAAGACTAGGATGGTGGCATTTGCGAAGCCGTAATATAATGGTAGACTGTTCATCGGCTGCATGACCATGCAAGAGAGATTTCAGTTCACTGTAACTGCCAGGGGCTGAAGAATTCAAAAGGGAAACTTTCATGTATAAATAAATATTCCTTACATCTCCTCGTAAAATGTACTCATTTAAACCATCCTTAAATACAGGTTAGTGAAAACCCTAAAATGATGAGAGAAGGCAAAGGTACTGTACTGGACTTATTCCATATACAATATCCCCCACCCCCCTAAAAAATATTAAGTCATCTATGTGTAGGCAATCATATAGATGCTATAAGACAGGGTTCATAGCCAAATTTACCAATCAATTTCAAGGCTTTTCAAGGTCTTTTTCAAGGTCTCCTTAGTTTTTTTCAAGGTTTTTGTCTCGGTGTAATACTGAAACAAGATTTTTGCCTTGTTCAAGGGTGTACTGAGCACACAAGGTACTTCATTTGTGCCACATGTGTTGGTATACCAGCACAGATATCATCATCATGTAGCATTTCCTTTGTCCTGACAAAAAAACCTTGGTCTCTCACCAGCTCTCCCGCTTCATGTACTTTTTTATACTCAAGGAGTCACTTATATCCTGTGCCCATCTTCGTGTTGGTCGGCCCCTGAGCTTGATATAGTGTTTGAAATTGATATAGTGTTTGAATTTCCTGTCTGTTCTGGACCTGGTACCTGAGAGGGTTAGGGGAGAGAGAGAGAGTCATAAAGAGAGGAAGACACATGCTGAGGTAGGCTGGGAGAGACAGTGTAAAGATGGACAGATGAAGGTAGAGAAAAGAAGGAAAAGAAGTCTGGGGAAGGAGGAAAAAATGACAGGGAGGGATGGAGACATGATGAGGAAAAGTGGGGAAGGGACAGCGAAAGACAGAGAGGGAGACAAATACAGAAAGAGGGAATGCAGATACAGAGATGGGCAGATGAAAAGAGAAGGAAAAAGGGAACGAAACAGAGATATGGAAGGAGAAAATATGACAAAGAGTTGAAAGAAGGGAGACAGAGGGAGAGAGAACGGACAGGGTGAGAAGCAGATGTAAGCAGAGAGAGATTTAGACATAAAGGAGAGAGAGACAAAGGGACAGCACAGAGAGGCAAGCAGACAGAGGGAGAGAACCAAAGAAAGAGAAAAAAGGCAGAACAGGAGAATGGGAGGGAGGTATACAAAGAGGAAGTGATGAAGGGAGGCAAACAGACATAAAGCAAGAGAGAGAGAGAGAGAGAGAGGTGGGTAAGGAAGGCAGTGACAAACACAGATTAAGAGAGAGGGGCAGGAAGGGAGACAAGATACATCAAAGAAAAAAAAAACAGCCACCTACTCCCCCCCCCCCCCCCCCACACAATTTCAAGTGTAGTGGGCACAACCACTAGTAAAAGAGTTATGGGGCAAAAGAATTCGTAGATGAACCAGTAAAAAATGGGGGGGGGGGGGGGGGAAGAGAATGAGAGAGGGGAGCGGGTAAGGAAATTTAGAGAAAATGAAAAGACAGGATGGAGAGGAGACAAAGAAGAGATGGGACAGGAGAAAGGGCAAGGAAAGGAAGAGAGGAAGAATGAGAGAAAGGAGAATAGTAGAAGATCAAAGGAAAGAGAAGGGGTGAGAGAAGAAAGGTAAGACACGGTTGTGGGTTGGGGGGGGGGGGGGGTTGTAAGAACAATGAGTGCCAAAAATAGAATTAGGAAATCTCTAAGTGAGGCCACTTTTCCAGTTCCTACCCTCTCCCAATGTGAATGTGGCCTTGGTCCAAAAACAACAGTGCTAACCCCTACTGCCCCTTGCTTGTCCTATCTGTGTGTGACAACAATAATTCAATTTCTTACACTTAAGGCTGGTGACCTGAGAGCCAAGGTCATTTTATGAAGGAAAAAAAAAGTCCAGGGGATCCCAACCCACCACTGGTAGAAAATAGAGAAGTTTACCCACACACATAAATAGGTCAGACACATAAATAGGTCAGGGCAGCAGTGGACTTCGTTTTATTTCTGGTTTTCCAATTACAGAAAGGAGGGGAGAGAGGAGGTGGTGGAAAGTGGTGTAGAAGGCTGAGGTGGTAAGGGTGAGACAGGGGAGGTGAGAGAATAAAGTTTAAGAAAATAAAGTGGGAATGAGACAGGGAGAGAAAGAAGGGAGTAAGAAATAAGATGAGACATAGAGGGAAGAAGGTAGCATGAAGGGGTGTCATCAATGTGGGAGGAGGAGAAAAAAAAAAAAAGGGGGGGGGGGGGTGACGGCAAATGTGTTTTTAAAAGTACACACATATTTAATGTGTGGGAGGGGGGAATGATGGACATGAAATGTTCTGCACTAGGCAAGACATAACCTTCTACACCAACTGAAGGTATGGAGAAAGAAAGAGAAAGAAAGAGAGAGAGAGAGAGAGAGAGAGAGAGAGAGAGAGAGAGAGAGAGAGAGAGAGAGAGAGAGAGAGAGAGAGAGAGAGAGAGGGACAAATACAAAGAGATAGATAGAGAGGAAAGCAGTGACACAGACAGGCAGAGAGTGAGGAACAGGTAGGACAAAATGTGATGGGGCGGGAAGGGAGATGGACAGAGATTAAGGCCGCTAGGAAAACAAACACATCAAAAGAAAATATCCACCATGTTCCCACAGAATGCCCCCCCCCCCCCCAATACAACTTCCTGTGTACTTGAGTTGCTAGGAAGAGTTATGGAGCTGCACATTTACTAAACATTTAAACAAGAAATAAAATAGGAAAAAGGGGGAGGGGGGACAGGAAATGAGAGAGTCAATGGAAAGATAGAGAGAAAGAGAAGAAGATGAAGATCAGAAGGGAGGGTTAGAGACAATGCAGGAGACGGGAAGGAAGGAGCAATAGGTAGAAGAGTGAAAGAGGGAGGGAAGAGAGAGAGAGAGGGGTGAGACAACAGAAGAGGGAATCTCGGGGAATTACAATACTGATTGCCAAACACACTGTCAAGATAAATCCAGGCCAAAAATAGAACTGGGAAATCCAGCTGCAGTCACTTTACTTAGCCCCAATGCCATCTCTAATTAATAGAGAAGGCCGTGCTTAGCCCCCACCACGGCGACTCTATTTATAAATACAACTGAACCGAGCCCCACCATCTCCCAATGTAATCCTTTCTAGAAACCACGGCCATAAACGATTTTTACTGTTCATTTTGCCCGACTTGCTAGAAACAAAGGCACACACACATGCGCGAGACGGAATCTGCTACTTCCCGCTGCTGTCTGCATGTATTCATGATCTGCAACATAGCCCGCCCTCTCCTGGCCTTTAACAAGCCATTTCGGCTGAAAATAGCCAATAATCAGCTGCCCTCACACCTGAAACAACCATACAACGAAAGTAGCCAAAAACTAGCCAAATGGCCAAAAAAGCCAAATGGCTCCCCCAAAATTGCCTGTGCTGAGAAACACAGGATTTCTGACGATTTCATTGCCGCGGTGGTCAAAATTCACGGCTTTTCAAGGTCGGAATGTCTTTTATAAGCTAAAATTCACGGTTCAAGGTCAACGAAAAAATCCCGGTAATTTCCCGATTTCCCGGTCCACTACGAACCCTGATAAGAGTATGGAGAAACTGGTTGTGGATCACTTTTCCTCTGCCAGTGGTTTTGAGATAAGAAGACCACAAGCTCCTGTAGATCGTGGTGCAACACATTTCCTTCACTGATCCATACAGCCTGGTTCCCACCGGAATAACAGCTTGTCAGACCCGACCTCTATTCTACATGTACAGAGCATTTCTGGAGCATACGTTCAGTATTTTATGGTGCCTGTCCATGTGGGCAAAGTTCTGAGTGCCTAATCTTGAATTTCTTAAACAATGCAAGATGTGTTATATCTTTTACTTTGGTCTGATCATGCTATATAAATCTGGCTTGATATTTAAATATACATTACAACACTTGGTGTATTCTTCAAAATTTTATGTTTAGGTTTCTTTTCTTTTTCAAAATGGTCAGGTTTTAAAAAAAAAAGTGAATTACTGCAAAATCGACTGGAAGGACGTCAAAGAAGTAAAGAAACAACTCAGGTACCTGTGTATACAAAAGCCAGACTTGAACTTTCTACACTTTGACTTTTAGCATCAGATGTCTGAAAATAAAAACAAAATCTATAATAATAAAGTCTTAAATGTAGAAACATCTTAATGAAACTTATTTATTAAACACTGTTCAAATGACAAAAAAAGACTAAGATAAGATAAGATAATAAGAGGAAAAACACACAATTAACAGCAAACATCAGACAGAGGACTTCTTTTAATAAGGAAAGAATGGAAAATAAGAATAGGACATTGTCTTCCCTTTCTCATGACATGCCTATAGTTTATGCTAGTTACCTGTTCCATAAATATGACTAGGAAGCTGAATAAACCAAAGAGACATAACAAACAATCTAAGCAACCACTTTTCCAATGAAAAAAGAAAGGAAAATCAGAATACCGTTCAATTCCCTCGTCTCATACCAGAATGTGGACTGCATTTTCTGATGCAGGTAACCAGTTATCTGTAAAGTCTCTTTTTTGTTCTCTAGAATGGAGCCCCGGAACCCACACTGGGAAACCATCTTTTTAAAGGCAAATGCAGATGAACAAGATTTATGCACAGCATTTTATAACTGTTCTTTGAAATGACATCTCCGCAGCTTCTGCCTCATTTCCAGAATTAGAAGGACCCTTTTCCTCACCTTCAGGTGTACTGGGCATACAGAGCTCGACTTAGGTTTTTTTTAAACAGACCCATTGGCACTCAGTGGGTGATGTGGGTCAACATCACAGCCAGTTGCCTTTACTTCCCATGACTTTACCTGGGACACATTTAAGGTTGGGTCAACATGGGAGCCATGGTCATTTTGGAAAAAAATCTCTGGGTCTGTCAGGACCTGAACTCAAGACTTTTGGATATACAGGCGATCGTCTAGCTGCTACACCACAGCGCTTCCCAAAGAATTCATTAAATTTGCATTAATAATTGCAGTAAGCTGACAGTAAAAGATTAGTTGCACATGTAAAAGTGAAAAGGTAAATCTGTGCAAACTACAGATCACTTTACCTCCGTATTTTTGAGAATGGGTCGAGGTTTTAATTCCTTTTTAGATTTCAGTGTTTTCTCAACTGCTCTCACTGCTTCATAATTTTCACTCTCATTTTCTGATGCCAAATCTGAGTAACTGTCGTCAGAATCACTGCCATCCTCGTCTTCTTCATCATCATCACTGTCACTATTATCGTCATCATCATTACTATCCTCGTCACCACTGCCACCAGCTTCTTTATTATTGTCACCAGTGTCACTTAAAGCCTCTTGGTCCTGAGAGTTCACTCTGTCACCTGACTCATCTTCTGACTCTGACTGACCAGCAAAGGTCACAGAACGCTTTGGTTTTTCAAGAGCAAACCTGTAATGAAAAACATACAAAGCATTAAGACCAAAACAAAACACAACAAACACACATCAAACTTGCTTGCTTGCAGACGATGATCTGAATCTATGTCTACGCCTCTGAAATGTTTTTTTAATCACATAGAGGGGGCTAAAATAAATGTCCACAGTCAAATTTAATAGTCTGTATTATGGTCCAGTTATAACCTCACTGCCTTATGTATTTATTTTCGTGGGGTTGGGGGTGGGGCCTTCCTATTTTAAAATAAAATACTGTTCACTGCTCCCCCCCCCCCCCCCACCAATCATTTTTTAGGTTGGAAAATGCAACCACTTTCAATTTGTTATCTCATGCTCATGTTTCTCCATAATCTATTAACTTGTATTACTTGATCCTATCATGTAATTCAGGTTATCAATCAAAATTTTAATAGTGCCATTTCTTTGACAATTATAAGGTCTTCTCTGGGATAAGCAAAAAGCTTAAGAGCTTTGAGATTACTCTACCAATCCATACAACAAAATGTAGACCTTTATAACAATGGCAATGGATAATCAAGAACTAAATATTTTCCAGACAGGTCATGACGATGAAGGTGATGGCGGTAACGCAAGCATTCAGATGGCTAAGAATACAAGACTATACCTGTGCGTGTGTACTTAGCAATTCCATGAGCATGATCCGGAAGATCCAGGCAGGTTCTATGCGAAAACAGTGGACTGAGCTATTATAGAAGTCCCCTGCGCGTCGATGAAAATGAAAGAGCTTATAAGTTAGATAGATCCGCTATCACTGCTGAAGTCAAGCCATCGATCATGCTGATATTATTAATGCCCTAAGAGAAGTTGGAAGGGTGGAGGACTTTCGAGACAGCGATTCCACATCACTCACCACAATGATAGACTCAGGAGTTAAGATCTGCATAGCCAAAAGAGATACACTGGGCAAACAAAAAGACTTATCAACCAACAAAAAACTGGCACTATTTGTCACAGGACACTGAGGTTCATACTGAGGGAAGGATCTGAGCACCTATGGGCATGTCCGGAGTACAATGATCAGATCCTAACTAACTAACTAGATATATGCCAGTCTAACCTTCTTGTCAATAAAGTATTACTCAGTACAGAATTAATAAAAAATGTAACTTACAGCAGAGAAGACAACTGCCAGAGAGTAGGCTGGATTTAGAATTACTACTGAGCAACTCTAGAATATCCAAAATTTCTCTCTCAGGATGGTACATAATAAAAAGATAAAATTTCCAAAGAAAACAAACAGGCCACAAATATGATGAACACATAGTATTTAGAAAGGGGCTGATCCAAATACACTGAAACTTTAGGTCCCCAAAATATTTTATTACAAAATTAGCGAACTAAAATTTCTTCACTAATGTCTCTCTATGTCAAAAACCATAGTCTAAAAAAAATTTAAAAAAAATCAACTTACCCATCGTTTAAATCATCAGCTGAGGTATGAGTTCTTTTTGTTTGCTTAGATTTTCCTTTCATTCTTGCTATGCGCTGAGCCTGCACAAAAATATGAAGCAAATGTTGCCAACATACACTTTTAACATCAGTTTATCAACAGAACAAATAAACTGCTGCATTTAAAAAAATAATGCACTAAGACAAAATATGGAATTCTCTGATCTACAGCACTGCTTTTCCTAAAATGTTACAAATAATTATGAAACAAGATAGTTGAAATAAATGTCTACACTATGGGATAATTATAGAATTTCTAGATGGAGATGTTTTTTTTTTTATATAACTATATTATCATACAGGCACCAACTTAAACCATCTCAATTAATATTTATTTTATCAGTAAGGATTAACTGCACTCAAATGTAACTGCATGTTAAGCGTGGTGGATGTTTGAATGGAAAATTTTCATTTGACTGTTACTGTAGTGTTCACCTGATGAGATACTACAAAACACACCAGACAATAAATTGTGCAATTTACTGATAACAGTTTTATTCACGTTCTCTATGTGTATGAATAGCAAATACTGCTTTTGATTTACAGTTAAACGTTATGTTAAGTATGGTGCTAGATTTAATTTCTTTTATTTATCTTGAAACACGATAAATACCTCGAGCTGTTTCAATCTTTCGGCCTCTTCCTTAGGTTTCGGTCATTCACATTCTGTATGTGTATGAAAAGCCATACTGCTTTTGATTTACAGTTAAACGTTATGTTAACTGTGGTGCTAGATTTAATTTATTTTATTTATCTTGAAACACGATAAATACCTCGAGCTGTTTCAATCTTTCTGCCTCTTCCTTAGCCTTCTCCTCTTCTGTTTTCAGCTTATCTGTTGCCTAAACCAAAGAAAAATTACATGTGCATAAATGATTTTTAAGCAAAGATAATCAGAAAGACAAAGAAACAGAAAATATTATTTGTATATTAATGGACTTTTACGCCATATATATTAAATAGGTTTGGTTTAAACAACGAATCAACATCATGGCACAAGGGCTGTAACCCATGTGTTCCATTCTACTTCTAACTAAAGCATGAGACCAAAGAATCTCAGCGCAGTGCACGAACTCTGTAGCACCGGTGAGGATTCTTAAATACTTTGGGTATTTTAACTAAAAAAAATTGTGCCCAAACAGCGCCGCTAGGCTACTCTTTTCGATTACCAACTGACAAGGGATTGTTTACGTGCGCAACAATACACACAGTCGCGCTATCTTACTAGCCAGATACCAAAGAAAATTACTAGAAGTACACATGAAAAAATCCCAGCTTTCACCTGATCCAGAACCTGGGACCTCTAGCACTCTGGGCCGATGCCACACCTAGAAACCAAGCATCATGGTTTCCGTATTTGTCCTGCACCTCTCAGATGGCGGAGCGATGGGTCTGCTTATCTTTTTTGCAGGTTTCAGCTTCACCATCTCCCCAAGTCTTCCTTGCTCTACCTATGCCCCCCCAGATGCTTTGCTGTAAAAAAATTTTTTTTAGTCCAGTCTGGCCTTCATCAGACAATTGAACCACCCATTCTATCTTCTGTCATTATATCCAGCCATGGTGCCACCCCAACCCTACCTCCACCGCCAATATTTGCAGCACTCTGCCAGTGACCCAACTAGGACAGCGCACCCCACAGACAGCCACTTTCTGCCCCAGTGTACACGTTCGGCACCAACCGCATAAAGCTGGGATGAAGATGCTATAATTAATTAATTTAATATTTATAAGAGCATTTAAATGTTTTAACACAATTTAATTTTTCATTGAATCTATCTCCATGCTAGAAATGTATTGCTTACATGCCACTGGCTCAACAAGACCAAATATATTCCTGAGCGTATCATGGACCTCCCTCCCCCCCCCCAAAAAATGCTGACATATTTTAAGATCTGAGCACGGAAGGAGGCTAGCTCATGGACAGTACTGCTTTTTGGAAAGTGTAATACCTCAGCCATATTAGGTGACATAATAGTTTGAAGAGAAAAGTAATTGAGGAGATGGTTCTACGAAGAAGAGGCAGGGGGTGATCAGCACAGTGGTGGACACAGGATTTCAGGCATACCCTGAGCATAAAGGTTAATAAAGCAGGATAGCCAGCAGGGGAACTGGTATGTTCTAGTGTTGAGATGAGAGCCATATTCTATAAAGAACTTGCTACATGATTTAAGATTCCACACCATGGCACATCAGGCATACCCAAAGATGCTCAGTTTCCCACAGCAAAAGTCTTATAAGTTGTAAATGCTAACTGTTCCCTTAGCACAATGATTATATACACATCATTATTTTCCTCCCATAAGTCCTTCCTTGATAGATTCGCTCTTAATTCCCCAACACACACACACATATTCTTACAGATGCTATTCCTGCTACATGATGAATCAACACTCGACAGGCAAGTGATATGGCCTGTATCACACTGAAATATTTGCTTCAAAGATTGTTTTCTGGACCCATTATTTTATATTTTGCTGATTGGGGAGCCCAGGTTATATTATTTTAAGCTTCAATTATGGTTCAAACCTATGACTGATAGGTCACCAGGGTGAAAGGGTAATTTACAAAAGCATGAAAATGTTTTTATGTGTCTAATCTAGCAAAATGGTCAATATTAAAAACTGTAAATTTCATAAATAATGCAGCTTCTGTTTAGAGATGCAGCCACCTGTGACTTTAAAACTGAAGATCTATCATGTGCTCTCCCCCTCTCTCTATTTTACCAACCATAAACATTTGAAACAAAGGCAGCCAAAAATAGCTTAACTTGGGAGATCTTCTTCTTCTTCACGTTCACCAGCTGTACACTCTGGCGGAAAGTTCTGGTTGCTCGTCCACTACTGAACTGCAGTCCTGCTCCAGAACCTGAGTGTTGCGTGTGCATCAGTTTTACAGATCTCATTCTCTTGAATACAGACTGTTGGTTCCTTGCCTCTCCGGCAGATGCACTCTGACTTCAAAAGAAGCTCCCCAATTAGTCGACTCTTACGACATGCTTTTTGGGGAGGCAGTGGGTCTATTCTTGTTTTCCCCACAATGGGGCCTCGGAACCCACACGGGGGACTTGGGAGATCTGAAAACGGCATCTAGGCATGCTGTAAATGTATTAACTGGAAACAACCATAAACATTTAAAATTAAGGCAGCCAAAAATAGCCTAAATCCCACTATCCATTATTAAAGTCATTATCCTCCGCCTCAGAACAGGGCACAACCGATTACGTAACATGTACACAAAATTCAAGATAGGCGGATCAGCTATGTGCACATGTGAAAAGGTTCCCCAAGACAGCAGAGCATGTACTCCGAATTTGACAAATTAAGGCAAACCTTTTGGCCAGAAAGAACAACAGTGGAATGTAAACTCTATGGACCACTAAATGAACTAACAACGACAGTGAAATTTATACAAGAGACAAAAATTGCTCAGATAGACAACTTATTTCAGGCGAAAGAAAGAAGAAGAAGCCTAAATGCCAAAAAATCTCCGGACAATAGTCTGTTTTACTTCAAATTCTCCCATTGTGGCAGCTGGCAAAATTTCACATACCTCTTTCCCAAGGGGAATATGCCTTTTCCAAGGTAAAAAACAAGGCTCAAGATCAGGGCCGCAATTTCCAGGTAAAAATTAAGGTTCCCAGTTGGCTACAAACCCTGCTCACATAATGAAAACTCTTAAATATATTCAAACATCTGTGGTGCTTTTATAACACAAATATTCTTACATGTTTAGTTAAATGTAAATGAAAAAAAAAAAAGGAGGGGCGGGGGAGAATTACTTACCCCTGCTGACTTCTGCTCCATGACAAGGTTATGGAAAAGTTGCATAAAAGCAGTTACTTTCTTGCCCGTTTGGTTGTTATTCTGGAAATGTAAAGTATGTGAATAAGTGACGACTGTCACAAACAAAATGTAAGATAAACAATAACAGGCAGTCAACAACTTTTAAAGCTTCCTTACTGCTTGATCAGTAGAACAGTCCCAATACAGTGCACCATTTAACAATCAGTTGAACTACTCTCACAGCAAAAGTAAAATTTATTAAATCCAACCGCTCTCAGACTAATATGGATTTAAGTAACTAATACCACGGATCACTGCCAAATGAAACTTATTTCAAAGGGGTTTCATGGTTTTCTCAAGGTATCAAATAAAACATATGTTTACTGAGTAACGGAAACAGCACACACTCCTGACTTTCCCAAAAAATTTACACATAGATGTTACACTAACTTATTACTTTAGAGTTCTTAGTTTCATCCTAGATTTCTTAGCAAAAGATAAACTGGCAAGAGGATGAAAATTACTGTTTACCGCTGTACCTATGTACCAGTCCTGACCTATGCATATGAGTCATGGTCAGTGACAACAGCTCACAGAAGCCAGCTTCAGAACTCAGAAATTAGACATCTGAGAAAGGCGGTCCAAGTGACAAAATTCACAATCAAACGATATGTCCAGATCTTGAAACCCCGACCTAACAGACTCTGGATCAGTGACAGTTACGATGGTTTGGCCATGTATGCAGGCTGGGAGAAAATCGGTCACCATCGCAGGCTAAAAACCAGGGAACCAGACTTCCAGGGCGACCACAGATTCGGCTAGGGAGATAAAATCTGACATTCCCTGACGGACAGAGGACTGGAATGCAACAAAGCCAGTAAGAAAACTGCTGATAGAGAAGTTTGGCGATCTCTCTGGCAAACCTCTACACCCCAAGGTAGAAGAAGAGTGACTAAGTAAGTAAGTAGTTTTTACCCCTTCACCTCAAACTGCTCTTATTTGATCTTCTTGGAGACACAATTTACTATTTTAAAATATAATTTCTTGGGATGTTCTGGCAGAAGCTCAAGGCTCAGAGGAAAGGCAAGACGGACGTTTAATCAGAAAGCTACTGGCACCATTAGTATCGGAACTCTTCGCTGGCTGCTGAAGATGGGGACGGAGCGCTTATGGGAATGCCCAGAGTGCTGTGATGTCCGTTCTTGAATCAAATCAAATGATTTCTTGGGATAGGAGTTTAACTAATACCAAAATAGCCAGGACCAGGTTTTCCAGCAGGTAATACTTAAGCCATTTCAATTAATATTTATTTCATAAATGAGTTTGTACTACTGTAATTTATTTATCAATTTTAATGTGTTGGGATTCACAAACAGAATATTTATGACTCTCTTGTTTGTTTCTAACTGTTAATACAGTTTTCTCAATGTGTGTTCTATCCAGTGACAGCAATGTTTCCTCACCTCGTTATTTACTGTAATATCTTTAATGCATCCCATATGCTCAATATTAGTGATTCTGCCTTACAATTTTATTCTTTGTCGCAGGAGCAACATTTGGTGAATGTTTGTGGTTTATTTGTGACTGTCTTGATTGTTCTTAGTGTAATCATTAAAAAATATGGCACAGAGCAGGGCTATTTAACTGGTGACCTGCGGGCCAAATCTTGACTGCCGAAGACTAGCCAGTTGTATTATGTTAATGATCTTCTTATACTGGGACTTGAGCCTCTGGCCAGTGATGATCCACATTTTTAAAATTGTGGCCCCTGAATAAACTTGACTGACTGACTTTCTACCCCACTAGGACATCACACAAGCGATAAACACCCGATGACACAAAGTGCCATCATGTGGATGAGGATCACAGTGGAGAGGTCCCAGAAACCGCGTTCAGACAATTGGCCATATTTATGGCCTGCCTATATTGCGGCCCCCGGCAAAAGCCAGGGTGGAGCTTCAAATAACAAAAAATTGCAACCTTAAAAGGACGTGGAACTTTGGTACTGAATAAACTTAGATGAACAGCCCTGGCCTAGAGAGTTATCCTGGCCAAATAAAAAAGAACTGAATTTTCCCCAAGAACTGAAGCTAAGGCATATGTAAATATAACCCCCCTAGAAAATGTGATAACAAACACACAAAAAAACGATTCAAACTATAACCTTCATGTAGGAACCCATTACAAAGGCTTTAACTCTGGTGATGCAATTTCAGAATATCTGCACTTGTGTGTAAGTAAAACTAGATAGTTGCAATATGTCATGAATTCTAGCGTTATGTCCAAATATTTCAGGGCAATAATTTATCATCATGTTTTTAATACAATTATGTACTAGAGTATACCTCATAAGTTTTGCTATATCATAAGCCCTACATTCTTCATCTTCTTCAATATTTCTAGCCTTTGAAGTTCACTGCTGTGAATATTTCAGTCTCATACATCTCTGACTGGCCATCTCTTTCCAACTGGCGACTTCAAGTGTTTTTAGGTCTTCCTCCAGGTTCACTCTGATTCAACTCTTTTGTGTAGGCAATTTTTGCCTCTCAGTTATCTTAAGCAATGTTCAATACCAAACTGGCTAAATAAGACTTACCACAGGTTTGAAATTAGACACAAGACTTTTCCAACTGCTATCAAGTTCTTTTGTTGTTTCCACTGTCTTCTCTTTCTCTGCTTGTCTCTCATACTGAAAAATTATAAGCAACAGATAATGAGCTAACTATGTTTAAAAAAAAAATAATACGGTCAGTCTCTGAAATAATACATGGCGATGAGTAAACTTAAAAAAAAATACCTTTCAAGCTTATCATACATATTATTTATGATTGTTTCTACCCCTAAAGATGAGTTCTCATGGTTTGCTCAACTTTTTTCCCCCAGTTCATTACGACTTATGTTACCTTACAGGGAAGTAAGAGGAAATCGTAACCTGACTATATTAACTGTGATAGGATATGAAGTGTCAGGTCTATAGTAATTGTTGGATGACTAGTTTCTGTCCAAATCGCCTTTCTTTCACAGGAAAGCATTAAATGGAATACACCCCACTGGGCCTAAAAACACAAGTATCGGGTGACTCACTCCAAGACCCAGTCAGCTAGCTGGAATTCTTATACTAAGGCAATGGACAAATTATGACATCAAAATGACTAACAGAAAAAAGCCACTTTGTTCATAAGAATGGAATACCCACATGAATGCTAGTTTTAGTAAATATATTTATATCTTCCCAAATGCTGCACAGGCAGATTCACAGCCAATGGCAATAACTATAGGTTACTCTGGAACAAGTCACTGCAAACATGCTGGGTAAGCGCACTTAAGAAGGTAAGGGACCAAAATGTCTGCGACAGAGAACATAAGGATAACCGTGTTGTATCTATATTTGAGTAAAGTCAGAAGAAGAGTTTGAAGTTTTAAGCCAAGGCATAATGTTACCAAAGCCAAATAAGATAACTAAGTAGCATCAATATTCAAGCAGAGATAGAAAAAAAATGATAAAATGTTATTCACATAAGCCAATTCTCATAAAGATAAAAAATGAAAGACATATGAAGCTCATACCTTTTGCTTTTTGGAGTCTGCAATAACCTCCTTCATTTTATCTTTATACGACACTTCATCACCTTCTTTAGAAAACCCGCCAAACTGGAACTGTCCTAAGAAATTACAACAAAATAGGAACTGTCAATAATATCAACACACATTATATAGAACTGTGCCTCCAAGCTGTGCACTATTGTGTGGCTTTAATAACTGAGGTTGATGGCATGGTGATTTCACTCCACCAAGCACAACTCCAGTGACAACTATAATAAAACAAATTATTAAGCAACACATTGTATTTTAAACTTTCAGCAAGCAGAATGTTTTTTTTTTAAAACTTGTGTGAGTTCTGGAGCCTCGATTTAGGGGTAAAAGGAGATCCACTGCCCCTCCTCCCAACACACACAAGCATCGCACAAAATGTGACCAAATAGGGTGCTTTCTACAAAGTCAGAGTGCATCTGCCTGAGAGGCAAGGAATTAACAGCCTACATACAAATTAGCCAGGTCTGTAAAACAGGTGTACAGGCAAACTCCAGTTTTTGAACAAGATCAAAACCAGAAGTGAACAAATGACATACCTCTTTGCAAAAGTGAAAAGTATGATTGCTAAGGAAAAGAAGAAATTTTATACCAAAATCAACTAATGTGTAGAAAAATTAAGAACTGTTCCTCTTTCGCGGGCTGGTCACATCTAGTTATTTCAATCATGAAAACTGGCTACAGTGAACTCCCCCTATTCCCCCCCCCCCACTTTCATTAGGCATATTAGGTGGTGAGGGCCAATCTTTTCAAGGTGCTACTTTCACTTTACTGTCCGAAAACTGTGGTGTCTTTTTTAAATAAACGCTCCACTATAGAAACCAAACCACAGAACTGAAGGATCATGAAATTGTACCTACGATGCCGTTTCAATGGTTTAAGATTAATTCTGTCTGAATTCCACAGTTGTGGATTTCAGGCTGTTTGACAGACATGGCCAATGAAGACAACTTTTCAAAGAGGGGTCATAGTTGGTCATGTCACAGTACATTTGTTTCTATAGTGAGGCACACATACCATCTGGAGGTGACAGGTTCGATTTCCGGCACGGTAACTAAAGCTTTTAATTTTAACGTTGTCTATTGTGTCCTTCTATCCTTTTTATTTCTATGAGTGCCAATCAATATATTATCTGTTACCTTCTTATAAACAGATTTTATTCAAGATAACCGAGTCTAGTAATTACTATTTACCATTTAAATTCCTGAAAATGTCATTTAAATTCCTGAAAATGTCATTTAAATTCCTGAAAATGTCATTTAAATTCCTGAAAATGTCACAACAGCAGTGATTTTCAACACAAATCTCTAACAAGATATTTTTCACTCTTATCTGTGAAGTTTAGCGAGTCTGATCTCACTATCAAAAATGGGATTTACGATGCAATAGACACCAAAGGTGTTTTTTAAAATTCGTGACACTATACTAGGATTCAAATTCAGCACCTTCTAAGTCTGAGGCAGACACCATAACCTCTCAGCCATAACTCACCAATTAAAACACATTATTAAAAAAATACAGTATGATATTTCAAGCTAACACAAATAGTCTAACCTAAACTGTCAATTTAAAAAAATGTGGCAATATAATTACTCTCACTACCCTGTGTGGGTTCTTGGGGCCTCATTGTGGGGGAAAACAAGAACAGACCCACTGCCGCCTAACAAGCAGGTCGTAGAAGTCGACTAATTAGGGGCTTCCTTTGAAGTCAGAGCGCATCAACCTGAGAAGCAAGTAACCAACAACCTGCATTCGAATAAGCAGATCTGTAAAACTGATGTGAACACAACACTCAGGTCTGGAACCAGACTAAAGTCCAGAGTGGTATTAAAAACCAGAACTTTCCACTTAAGTTTATAGCTGGTAAACATAAGGAAAAAAAAATATAATTGCTCTTACCCATTCGTAGTTTGCCATCCTCTTCCTCCTCTGAATCTGAGCCAATGGTGTCTTTAAGATTCTCTACAAGTGACTGGCCATAATGGGTCAACACCTCCTCTTCGTCATTCAAACTGAAGTCACCCTTTTTCATCTGTTTCTGTAAAATTAACAAATGGGATTTGAGTGTTAATGTTAATAAAGGGCCCTTATTCACTCCATATCAAAACTTGATTGGTAATGAGGTAAATACCATGCAGACCATCTTCACTTTTCAGAACATTTCCTGGTACCAGTTTTTAGGCTGGGTCAACCTAGAAGACTAGGTTTTACATTTGCCCCAGAAGGGGTTTCAAAGGCATCACCACTGTGATTCCATGCATCTTTTTTGTTTCTGCATATATTAAATGAAAGTGAAAACATAACAAGTTATCTTTTTTAAAGATATTTAAAAGCGTTATATAAATAATAACATAAACACACCCCTTTCAACCATAACTGTAGTTGGCCAAACTATGGATCTTGTCAACATTATTATTGGCCTCGACAGACAGAGTGAGAGAGAGAGAGAGAGAGAGAGAGAGAGAGAGAGAGAGAGAGAGAGAGAGAGAGAAACTGAGAGCAGTGCATCTATATCATTACTCTGAAAGAGATTTGGAAGTAAATATCGTCTTAGTAAGGCACTGCGAACATATGAGAGGGCTTATCAACTAGCATACGGATGGCAGTATTAGAGAGGGATGATGATGTATATGTTGAGAATCTATAACTCTTTCATCGAATCTTATACAGATTTAGCGTTGAGATAAAGAATTTGTATGTGTACAACAACCTTGTTCTTTAGACATCTTATATGGAGAAGATAGGGGGTTTCTGTGTCTTGCCTCCACTCTGAAGGTCATGGGTTTGTTTCAATGGCTTTGCCGTCCGGTTCATTAGTGCAAATTTTTATGGAGACCCTTGGGGATCGTCAATGGAGCTTCTGTGCTTGTGCTCTGTATGACACTCTCTGCATGTAGCCAGCCATTCTGTAGAGACTGAGTCGCATAGGATAAAATCCGCTCCAATAAAGTCAATCCTTCTGGCTATTACTTTTATATGGAGAAGACACTGGTCAGCATGATTCTCTAATCATGTCACCAAATATTTTAATCTTCTTCTTCGATCATTCTGTCAGAAAACTTATATCAGGAGGCCGGTAGCCTTTATGAAAGCTTTCATGCAATCAATATCCTCTCGTGTACCATACAGTTTTGTCTACGGTGTGATTTGAACTGGCCAGATTGCAACTCTGTTGTCAGCATACAGTTGACAGTGTTGGAGCTCATGCTCAGCATTTTCGGGTGCCACACTGCAGGGACACGTCTCCGTATTTCCTACACCAAAAAATTTGAACATATGTTGACGAAATCTGTTGTGCCCAGTCCTTAGTCTGAATATAATACACTGTCCCTCTCTAGAAAGGCGATAAAGTGAGTCTTGGGGAGAAAATCTGGTGTGGGTATCCAGCCACCTTTCTTGGATTCTAGATTGTATTAATGTTTTCATCTCTTGGTGGGTTAAGTCGCTATTTGGTTGTACCGTGTCACTGCCGCTTCTGGCCAATCTGTCCGCTATGTCACTGTCTTCCAAGCCACAGTGACCTGGAATCCACTGCAGTACAGACTCTGAAGAGCCTAAGTAAATCAGCTGTTGCGTCAAGTCTACAAACTGAGTGTCTTTTGGGTTAACAATTGCTTGCAGAACTGACATAGCATCAGTCAGAAAGACCACTCTGCTATATTTGCTGTGCTGTTGTCCATTCAGGAAAGAACATGCCGCTAGAAGTGCTTCTGCCTCTGCTCTGTAATTGGGGGAATATGAACATGTTGGTACAGCCTGGTTGAGTTTTAAACCATTTGGGCATTCTATGTATATTCCTCCTCCTCCGTCTCTTACTGCTCTTTTGGCTGAACCATCTGTATACACTTGAATCCAACTCTGGTGTGGATAAAGTCTATTGATCTCTCCTTCTGTAGTTGATTTCATATCAGTGCTGCTCATTGATGATTTGGAGGAGATCCCTGTTACAGTGGTTCTGACTATCCCTAAGCCAAGGAAGGCAGTCGTTGTAAGGTTTAAGTGGAACATTTGGTATTATGGGAGGGAGTTTAAGGACAGTTTAATGAGACTGAAGATATTATTTGTTACAAAGCTGTTTAACCCTGCAGCCCTTAGAAGTCACAAATATAACACTCCCTGATGGATCCAATCCCCCATTAACGTTGCTTCACCAACATTGCTACAGTGGTTTGCCTGTGAGAAGCCTAGCTAACAGCAATAGTTCCGCTTGCACCTGCGCATATGACCAGGAATGATTATATTTAACTTGTCAATGGCCTTGTTTATAGAACTGATGACATTAATTTCTCATATTTCAAGGTCGAGTCAAGAATGAGCCCTAATTTATGTATTCCTAAGCTCAAAGATATGTAACCCCGGTTTATTCTCCAATTACTCCTCTTACTCTACGCGGAATTTAATATTTGTTGGAGTTCATAAATGAATTTAAAAGGGTTTCTTTTACAACTGTGTAAAATGGTTTACATTTTTAAAGACGTTTTTTGAGATTCATGAAATACTGGCCATAAGCTTTGTTTCCTCTAAGCCAATGAAAATTCATACATCTTTTATTGTCTTCCCGTGCCTCTCTTCCCTACTAATTTCCCACATCTGATGTATATCTCTATTCTCTCTCTTATGTTGATAAACTTTAAATATTGCGCTTCTCTTAATAAATGATCTGGTAACAGTGATAGCACTGAATACCCCCACAGCTTTTTTATTATTTGTCTACAACATTATCAGAATTTGTCTATAGAAAAAACCCCTCCTTAAGTGACAGATGAGTGGTAGAATCACAGTTAACATGATACAGTTAAATACTGGTAATTGTTTATTGTCCCTCCTCAAAAAAAAACTGCACATATTTTTAATGAGAAAAAGCTACTAGAGAGGGTTGGGTGGCAAGGAGTTGGTTGTAAACAGTTTTAATTAGATGTAAACAATTGGTTTCCTATAGAAACCTTCAGCTGCATTATTAACTAATCACGAACAAAAGACCTGCCGTGAATTGGTTGGGGGTTATGCTCTATGTAAAGATGAATAGCCCAAGACAAGGTAATGTCTTCATACCATGTGTAAATGAAGCTCGCCTCAAGACAAAGTATCATAACACATGTGTCTTCACACCATGTGTAAATAAAAAGCTTGCCCCAAGACAAGGTAGAATAATGCATGTGTCTTCACGCCATGTGTAAATGAGGCTAATCTCATCTCAAGACTACTATACAATTAGGTAGTCATCATCATCATAAACCAATTCTGCCGTTAAGCGTCGTGGGGAGGAATAATTTGCGTTCCAGTGCATGTTGGCTGCCAATGGCTATTGAATTAGGTAGTACTGAAATCAAATTACACAGCTTTAAAAAAAAAAAAAACTACCTTTTTCTCCAATGCGAACCTCTGTACCATCTTGTCATCTGCAGAAAGTGTTGAATCATTCTCACCAAATCTTTTGTCAAGCAAAGAATTGGCCTTTTTCATATGGTGAAGTTCTTTTAGTAGGGTATCTTTCCTCTGTATAGTAAAGTAAACATCATGAATTTATGAAACAATTTGTAAATATAATTTCTATAACAAGCCTAACAAGCCAAGTAAAACAGCAAGGGAATAAAATATAATCATATACAAAAGTTTACCTGACTGGCCCTGACAAGCCGACAAGTGGGGCCAGCGGCAGCAGACATCTTAAACTTTCTGTCAATCAGTAGGACATCTGATCATGAGAATTTTGGTCTCAACACTCAATGAGTGAGGCCACTGGTAGTGGACATTTGCACCTTGTCTGTCACAGCCTGTCGGACATCTCAAGACTTTGCTGACACGCCCACATGAGATGTTGCTCATCTAAGCTGCAAACAAATGTGGCTGCACAGGTAGTTACAACACACCGAAACCTGGCTGGCGGATATCTAAAATTTCACATTATGCCACAGGAGCCTGACTGATGGGTACAAGAACCTAATCAGCATTTCATAAGGACTTTCGATCGCCAGACATTTCAACTAAGATTTATCAACTAGTAGAATAATCTGCCAGTGGGCGTAACTTGTGTGCCAAGTAAGTTTTCACCCATGTGTTAAGGGTTTGCCGAAGAGAGCCAAAGATTTCTAGACACTACATCTCTGGGGGCCATCAACTCAGAGATCCCCTGCCAAATCGTTTAGGGCCAATATGACCCATTATTTGTAGTGCACGACATGGACATGTGGACATGAGGATCTCTTAAACCAGTACAGAGCCTACTAGCGCCCAGGGTGAGGTGTGTAGTATCTCCTCATACACAGCAAAACAGCCTTAACTTCCCCTAACGGCCATAACTGAAATCACTATGCTAGGGGTGCATCCAATACAAGGGAGTGTTACATACACAGAAAAATATGTCTAAAAAATGTATATTTATTCGTGACCCGTGTAAAATGTTTTTTTTTTCAAAGGACTGTTTGGGGAATTCCCATGGGTTCATGACCCATTATTCTTAAGCATTTACAGGGTTAAAGGACAACTTTTACTACATTGCAGGTTCATTATATTCTGATATGTGCTGAGTGTCAGTGTTACTTAAACACATTTTTACTGATGTGAGTTTCAAAAATAAGGACGAGGACAAATTGTTATGCACAATTAATTGCCTGGCTTATCTTCCTGTCCTTAGTAAGCTGAATAACTGCGGAGTTACATGAAAATGAAAAGCAGCTTAAAAGTGAATGTTTTTGACCTAAATAAAAAGAATATAAAAGCTAACTATTTGTTTAGAAAAATCAGCAATGAAGTCTTAAACTAAAACAAGATATTTTTGTCTGCATATGACAGTTCACATCCTAACAGCAACTGTGGCATTCTTTGTTTTCTACATATTAAAGCATATCTTCTTAGTGTTTATAGGCTGTACAATGTTGGTTGCCTCTCAGAGGGGCAGAGTAAAACAAAAAATGGCGCCATAGACAACCAAATGGGTAATGAAAGGAGATCAATCAGCTCACCATTTTCACAGCTTTTGACCGCGACACTCCAGGAATACCTTTCTCCCATTTCTGAAGATGTTTGTTCACCACTGAGTGCTTGACTTTATTCACCTTGACTTCAAATGGGTTTGGTGGTTGTTTAGTTTTGTTCTTCTGTTTGCTGCGCACTTTATCAGCCAGCCCTTTTTTGCTCTTAGTTTTAGCCATCTGTAAATAAAAGTTAGTGATATAAAACAATGTTGATTAAATACATGTCAAGTTTTGTTATTATTTTTTTTTTTTAAACTATGATAACTAACATTTTAAAGGAGTGGGTGAGAATGTACATCACAGTAAAGTGTTATAAATTATAACAATTTACTTCTATTTTTAATATGTAATAACAGGTGAAGTAGAAGTTAAACAGAAGTTAAAAAGAGACCAGGAATAACCAAAACAATTTTCAACAAGATATAAACATATTGATATCTAGAGAGATATTACAAATGGGAGCTGCTGAAAAATGTAGAGCCTGGAAAAGAAAAAAGCAATTAGAAAATAAAAAACTGATGGAGATACACAGAAGAATATGATGTATTTCATGAAAACAAACACAAAGGTTCTGAAAGGCTAATAATAAAAAGTAAGTTGTTAAAGGAAATTAAAAAAAGAAACATGAGAAATATTTTGACCATATCAAAATATGAAACATTCTTATCATCTTCTTCGCGTTCACCAGCTGTAAACTTTGGCAGAATGTTCTGGTTAATCGTCCACTTCTGGACTCAACCTGTTCCAGAACTTCAGTGTTGCGTGCACAGCCATTTTACATATCTGACTCATGTGTATGCAGACTGTTGGTTTCTTGTCTCTCGGGCAGATGCACTCTGACTTTGAAGGAAGTTCCCAATTAGTCAACTCTTACAACATGCTTTTGGGCAGACAGTGAATCTATTCTTGATTTCCCCACAATGGGGACCCGATTCAAGGAAAATTTGAATGCAAGCAGGCAAGAGACAGGCAATACAACAAGTGGGCCAATAACTTTAAGATATGGATGAGTCTCGGAGAACGTACACCAAGGTAAAAAAAAAAATATGAAGCATTTTGAAGGTCCAGTGCAGCCAACCTTCAATGCAAAGATGACATGTGAATGACCGATTCAACAACAATGACAAAAATCACATAATCCTTGATAGAATAGTTTTATTGAATATAAACCTGTTTGGATCAGTAAGAGATTACTTTTATTGCAAACGAATATCTTCAAAAGTGCCTCAGTCTCTACAAGTTAAGAAAAATCTCACTCAACCTAGTGCACAAACCGTTACAAATGTGTGTGAGCACAACATGTTGAACAAAATATTCTTTTATGGGTAAAATTTTGAAATATTTTTACCTAAGCAGTGGTCGATTTTGACTATTCATTCATTTAATGTGCATTTTGGAAACAGGAAATATTGAAACAGTGGAGAATACAGAAAAGCAACAGTGCATTTTACAATAGGTTTAAATTCTACTAATTTAAAATACTGGAATCATGATAAAGTATAAAAGTAGGAGCAAACAGAGAGACATTTGTGCACAAGTTTTTTGGCAGATCAAGATATGGTGGGAAGATAGTATGCAGCAAATGCTCCAAGTTACTAACTGGAAAAGGAGACATATAGAGATCAAAAGAGATGGGTGATATTTGCAACAATAAACAACAGGGGTCGGAAATGGAATTGCTAGAAAACAAAGAAGAATCAGAATAGTAGCAGGTACAAGCAAGTACATGTACACTGATGTTTTTTATTTTCTGCATCCGTTAAAATGATTGTGAGCCGTGGCAGCGCAGAGATTAGGACAATCCCCCCACCCACAGCGGTCCCAAATTTAAATAGTTTCTGAATTAATGGAATCATCTTTTTTTTTTAAAACTGACTGCCTGTAAATAATAAAACACAATCATGGCAGGCAGATCGCATGCGCCTGTTTATATTGCAAATTAAAAAAATGCTTTACCACGAAACACGCAATGTTTTTAGTCCAGCATGCTCAGGCTTAGCCTTCTTCTTCTTCTTCACTTCCTCTTTTACGGCTGTGGGTGTCGAGGGAGATATAAGGTTCTGTTTCTCTGATGTTATCCTTCCATCTTGTTCTTGGTCTACCCCGTGCTCTACGTCCTTCTTCTCTTTCCATGTATGCTTTGTATGGTATGGTGTCACAAGGCATTCTCTCTAAGTGGGCAAACCATTTCACTTGCCGTCTTTGTATGTAATCCCGAATTGGTTCTGTGCTGACTTGTTCTCTTATGATCTCATTCCTGATCTTATCTCTTATGGTCACTCCTACAGCCCTTCTCAGACATCTCATTTCCGTGGTTACTAATTTTCTTTTATGGTTTGTTGTGAGTGACCATGTCTGGCACTGGTAGCACAGAGTTGGAATAAATATGCTTTGAATAAGATGTCTCTTTGTGCTGATTGGGATTGTCTTATGCTGTAAGAGGGAGCCTAGCTGTCCCAATACTTGGTTTGCTTTACTGCATCTAATGTCAATTTCTTTATCCAATTCCCCATCTTCGGTAAATGTAGTTCCCAGATATTTAAACTCAGATGCCAGTTTAATGTCTTTGTGTTCTATTGCTATGTTTAGTTCTGTCTTCTTTTTTCCTATTGACATTACTTCTGTCTTTTCAGTGTTGATTCTCATATTATTTGTTTTACATTCTTCATTCATGGATGTTAGATGTTGTTGCAATTTCATGGCTGTATCTGCTATCAAGGCCTGGTCACCTGCAAAGAGTAATTCGTTGATCTTACTAAGATCTTCATTCATGAGCTTGGCATTCTTGCAAATACTGTCGATGTAGGTGATAAACAGCAGTGCTGATAAGACACACCCCTGTCTTACTCCAGATGTCACTGTGAAAGGATGAGATGTTCCCTGATTCATTCTAACTACACTTCTACAATCCCTGTATAAACTTTTGCACACTTCGATGAGGTGTTCGCTTACTCCATATCTTGCCATTATTTTCCATAGTAATTGTCTGTAGACTCTGTAAAATGCCTTCTCCTGGTCTACGAATGCCACAAATAAGCTCTTATTGTATTTAATGTTCTTTTCTGTTAACTGTTTAAGTGTGAAGATTGCATCTGTGCAGCTTCTATTTCTCCTAAATCCCATCTGTTCTTCTGCCAGCTGTGGTTCTATCACTGGTCTCAGTCTTGTTTCTATTATCTTGGCATACATTTTGCCAACATGGCTTTAAAGAGAGATGCCTTGATATTGACCGCATTCTTGTTTGCTTTCTTTGTTCTTCCACAATGGTATAACTATTGCATGTTGCCAATCAATAGGGGCCGTTTGTTGTACCCATGCTGCATTGAATATTCTGTGAAGCCATCTGATGCTGCTTTCACCTGCTGCTTGAATTATTTCTGTTGGTAATCTATCAGCTCCTGGTGCTTTATATTTGGGAGACAGTTTAATGACTTTTTCTATTTCATCCATTAGTATGTGTGGTTCTAACACTGTTGCTCTGTGCTCTTCAGTTGTTATTTCCTGAGGATCTCCTAGAGGTTTAAAGAGCTCATTGAAGTATTCCCTCCATCTTTCTGCTATCTCGGGTGGATCTATCAATGGCCTTCCTGTCTTATCATTAATTATTTCAGTGGGGTTTTAGCTCTCATCTCTTTTCCGCATATTTTTAACTACTTTGAAAAATTTTCTGCTGGCTGTTTTCTCATTTTCTGCTAGTTACTCACCGAAACGTTCCCAGGATGCTTGTTTTGCTTTCTTGACACTCCTGTTGGTTTCTCTCCTTTGCAGTCTATAGTTTATATATTCTTCTTTCTTTGATTTTATCCACTGTTTAAATGTCTTTTTTCTTTTTTATTGCTTCTTTTACTTCTTCGCACCACCAAGGTGAATATTTGTTATTTCCCCGTCTGTTTCCACTCTTCCGTTTTCCACATAATTCTTCTGCAATACTAAGCATAGTGTTTTTATATATACTCCATTCTTCCTCAATATTGCCAGCTACATGTGGAAGTTGTTTGAATGCTGTCTCTACTTTCTGTTGTAACTGTTCTTGTACTCCTTCCTGTTTCAGATTTGCTATCTTGATGAGATCCTTGTTTTTGTTTAATTTCTTTTTGTGTTTCTTTAATGTAAGATGTTTTGCTGTTAACAAAACTATTTTATGGTCAGTGTCACATAGACCATTAGGGATTGCTCTTGAATCAAGAATTATCCTTCTTCCTTGAACTCTGGTAAGTATAAAGTCAATCTGGCTCTTAATGGAGACATTCCATTTGTACCAAGTGTAAAGTTGTGAATCTCTATGGTCAAAGAATGTGTTCGTAATAAAAAGATTGTGCTGGCTGCATAGATCCAATATTCTTTGACCATTTCCATCACTGTTCTTAGCTGCTCTTCTGTATAATTATCATTGCATATTGCATATATCTGTATATATGTTTCAGCTTGTTCTCTTTTAATTTTCAAAGTAATAATTCTATCTGAGTGATAATGTATGTCTAATATGTAGTTAGATATGTCCGGATGTACCAGGAAACCCACTACATTCTTTGATGCTTCTCCTCCTGCATATGTTAGTAAGTAGCCTCTGTGTATTTTCTTATTAATATTTCCCTTGCGTCTTATGTCAGCTAGCCCCATTAACTTGATTTTCCTTTTTTCCATCATTTCAATAATCTCTTCTGTTTTATTTCCCAGGCCAGCGGTGTTAAGTGTTGCAATCTTGTATTTCGCTGTTCTGTCTCGAAGTCCCTTAACATTGCCATGGTCAGATACCGTTTGATCAGTCCGTTTATATCTCATTTTGATTTCTGTAGCGGTAATACATCCATTGCCGGTTTGCTAGGCAACTTCACCAGAGCCCCGTTGGCCAGGACGTTTCGGGGTGACCCAGGGTGGCCTTCATGGCTACCATAGCGGTCCCGTGGCACGAGGCCACACAATACTTCGCCCACACCTAGCAATCCCCTACTTTGTCCTTTTACCACCTCTCACGACGAGGACGTGGGGTTGGCCTTTGAAAGGCTTAGCCTAACCCTAACAAACTGCAAATTAAAAATATCATTCTATGAGTTTATGCTAAGAATTTGCGAGTGTCGAATTTGGGACCATTGTTTGGAAAATTGTGGAGATTAGCTATTAGCATACTTTGCCTGCTGAGAGCTAGTTAGTGGTCATGTTTTCAAATTCACACCATC